TAAACTGATCTCCTGCCAGTTTTGCAGTTTTCAAGGCTCAAACGTCTGGAACACACTAGGCAGTGTTCGCCACGTCATGTCAGCAGCCCTCTGCATGGATTCCACCTCTTCTCTAGGCCCTGACTGATATTTAAGACCACGTTAGTGGCTCACACATTTGTAATCATCCTTTACAGCAGAGGTTCCTGCCCTAGATGCCCTAGCTGCTCGCTGTAGATCCATCATTTTTAAATATACGCCCTTTGAATTATCTTACTTTCTGTCTGTCTGTAAACTGGGTCCTCTGTTCAGAGCCTTGACATTTAGGACACTTAATATGACAGTTCTGACAGGGAATGTGATTTTTACCACAAATAATCCTATTATAATAATATACAAATTGAACAACAGAGAGGAGCGTGCTCTAAATAAATGTCAAAACAGCCTTCCACAACAGACAGCATATACATTTAAGCATTAAATCAGGCAGCATTGAAATCCTTTAATCTACTCGTCGAATCAGCACACCACTGTTATGCACGCGCTTGACTCGGAGTGAACTTACTAAGAGTTGATTAAACCAATGCACGCCAGCGATCGTGAACCCGAAAACTTATAGTCCCCAACTTCAGGCTAGAAAAATTCATAGTCAAGGATTTGATTCTTAGTTTTTTTTTAACTGCTTTGTGAAACAGACCTCTGGTGCTGGCTGAATGTTTAATATTTCTTTCTGATCATTTCTGTTTATCTCAAAGACAGTTTTCTGTAAACATTTCAGCAGATTTTGCAGTTTCTGAGAAATGCAGACAAGCCAGAGTTAGTAAAATTACGTTTATTTCTTGTTCGTATTGTTGATCTTCAGCAAGTCATATTTACCACCTCCAGTTGCACATTGTGTTGCTGTTATGTGATTGACTGAATTGCTACTTTTTTGAATCAGTTATTAAACAGGTGTAGTGAAGTGGCGAGTGAGTGTAGCTAACATTAGTCCATCTTGTTTTAATTTGATTTACATACTTTTTAACATGTATTGGCTACATATATAGTTACTTGCCATCTTTTGCCATGTTCTAAATGAATTAATTTCTCACATTTCTCTCATTTCTTAGATAAACATGAAGAGGAGCGCTGTCCTGTATACTGCAAACTTCTTGCTGCCTGTTATTTTCTTTTTTTGTCTGGACTTTGCCTCCATGCTGATGTCAGATACCAGTGGTGAGAAGATTGGCTTCAAAGTCACCATAATGCTTGCAGTGACTGTGATGCAGCTTATTCTCAACGATATTCTTCCATCTTCCTCTGCTAGGATTCCTCTAATAGGTCAAACATTGTTTCTTAACCAATATCAATGAGCTAAAACACAAATACCTGATCAGTATGGTTAATTAAAGCTGTTTGCTTCCCTCAGCGGTTTACTGCATTGGGACTTTTGCTCTAATGCTGCTCAGCCTCTTGGAAACAATTTTGGTGATTTATCTGATTGATAAAGATGCATCCCAGGTTGCTGAAATGGAAAAGACAAAATGGCAGGTTGAAGACCAACAGGAGAAACTGACTGACTTTCCAACCTGCTTTATAGGTAAGACCATCATACTTTAAACAGTCATGCTCTTTTCTGGTTGAAATGATGATCTGAATCTTCTCCATTTTTTTTAACTGTTCCAGGGCTCCAGAAATGTAGTAACTGTACATCTGCAAAGAAAGCATCTATTTATTGTTCACCAGTTACTGAAAAAGAGGTAAGAACTGAAAGTAGAAACCTACTCTGTCCCATTGATATATGAATTTGATGACGCATGTTTTCAGGGTGGCAGGGGTGAAAATACTGAAGTGTCCATTGCACTAGAAAAGATGTCAGACGACCTCGGAGAGATCAAGAAATCAATAACTCTTCTCAGTGGCAGACAGGAAGATGCAAAGCCTGGCTACTGGACCAGAATTGCTAACAAAATAAACAAAGCTTTTGCGATTTTTTATTTCACAGCAGCAACCCTGTTTTTAGGGATAGTTTTTACAATGTGGTTTAAAGAAGATGCCTAGTATATATAACAGTATATATGTTGTGTTTAACCTGTGTATTAATGCTCGATATTAAAATATTGATTCAGCTTATTTTGTTAATTTAAAAGGCTTCCAAAAAAACAAACCACTGGACTTTGTTTTCCAAGTTTGAAGGCGTTTCAATTCCCATCCAGGAAGCTTTTTCAATTCAAAATGTCTGAAATAGCGTTGAGTTCCAACCTTTATAGATTAGCCCAACAAAGCCTTGTTTTGGCTTAGAAACATCCTAATTGAACCGGAAGAACAGGTCCGCCCCTTAGTATAGGGGAGTGGTTGAGGACTTTCTTAGCCTGCAATACCCGACACTGGCCTATACCTCTGAAAAGGGGGAGGTGCATCGTTGGCCTGGCTGACTAGGCGAGATGTCTTTGTCCCCTGCATGTTGATGAGGATAATGATAGCAGAAAGGAATCAACTCTATCACTGCATTGTAGGTTTTGTCAGAGCTGAGTCCATCCCCTTTGTTTAAGGT